ATGAAATAGAAATTTTTCCCCAATGATTCAAGAGACTATGAAGGGTGAATGGTTAATAGAATTTTCCTTGGTGCTTTATAGCAGCTTTTTGTTAAAAGGGAAACAATGGTCAGAGTGGAAATTTCAATGTTTTTTCATTTGTTTAAGGAACATTTAATGAGCAGCTACTATGTGCCAGGTGCTCATTAAATGCCAGGGTACAGCAATGAACAAAACAAAGATAACTGCCTCGTGGAGCTGACATAAAGGGCAGAGGGTAGAGGCTTTTTTAGTGTGCAAAGGCTTGTCTACTGCAGATAAGAAACAATAAATTATGTAGCATGTGAGAGATTGATAGAAGCTATGGAAAAAACAAAAGTGAAATAAGGGAAGAGGAATCAGGAGTGTGAGCTGGAAGTTTAAATAGGGTATTAGGGTGGAGCCACATTGAGAAAATAGCATTTAAGTATACAGCTGAAGGAGGCCAGGGCGAGCCGTGCGGATATTCAGGGGAAGAGTGTTGGAAGAAGAAGGAATAGCAAGTGCAAAGGCCCTGTCTGGTGCCCTGATATGTACATGGTACGGTGAGGGGAACGTGTGGCTGCAGCACAATGAGGAGTGGGAGAAGACGAAGGCAGGGAGGTGCAAGGAGGACTGATTTTTTCTTCTAGTGAAAAAAATCTAGTGGGAGCTCTGGTGGGATTTATTTTTGCCTTTGTTAAGTGCAGAATTTGAATTCCCTTTATAAGTGCAGAGAAGTCATGTATCTGGTTTAGATGTTTAAAGAAGCACTCCTCAGGGTGTGTGTGGTGGGAGGAATGGGTGGGGTATGAGTTGAAAGAAGGTTGGCCAAGAGTTGACAGTTATTAAAGCTGGTGATGGGTTCAAGGAAGTTCACTCTCCTCTTCTCTCTAGCTTTGTATGTGTTTGCATTTTTCTTTTCACATCTTAAACTCCTACCAAGAAAATCAAACGAATCATCCTGACTCCTGTGTTGAGACTGTGGGAGGGGAGGGCAGGAGGAAGAAGATGACTCCACTGGTCCAGGTGAGCCAAGGTGGGGCTGGCCCCGAGCAGGGTCATAGGGAAATGGAGAGAAGAGGTTGAACTTGGGACCAGCAATGTTCTCTGATGGGTGTGGATATGAAAGATGCCCCAGGTTTGAGCCTGAGCACCTGGAAAGTTGCAGTTGCTGTTAACTGAGAAGGGCTTGTTGGGGGACAAAATGACAGCTTGCACGTGAGACTCCTACATGGGGTGTCAGGAAGGCGGTGGAGGTGCTGTTGTGGGGAGAGAGCCGATCAGGAGATGCAAATGTGGGAGTCACCAGGGTGGTGATGGTATGGTGATGGATGCACATGGACCGAGCACACAGGTCTGAGCCCACTGCCCACTGCTTCCAGAAATCAGGGAGATGAGGAAGAAGCAGCAGCCTGGGAGGCAGGTGTGGGAACAGGTGGGGTGGTGTCCTGGAGGCTAAGGGTCCAATACTGGGGGGCCGAATGAGGCGCCATCCCTGGTGGCTGTAACGGGGCCATTTGTGGCATTGTGGAGAAAAACGCTGACCAAGGCCTCAGGGAAGATGAAGGAGCAGACATGGAAACCAAGAGTGTAGACAACTCAGTCGAAGAGTGGTCAAGGAATGGGGCAGAAGTTGGTAGTGAAGGGGCTAAAGGTCATTTTAACCCAAGATGTTAGAAATACCAGCTTGTTTGGATGCTGGTGGGAATATCAAGTCAAAAGTGAAATCTAAGGGCAGAGGAGAGCAAGGGACTGTTGTTGCTGGCCACCGTTTGGTTCTGGCCACTGAGAGGAAAGTACAGCCAGGCCCTGCAAAGCCTCAACAACTGTTGTCCTCAAGTGCAGGTGGTGGCCACTGCAGGGAGTCACGAAGATGGTAGAACTTGGAGAAGCAGGCAGTGGGGGAACATAGTTTGGGTTGAAGGAGAAAGCGCTGTGTTAAGGTCAGAATGTGGCCTGACTTCCTGTGATCCTCACAGCAGCTCTGTGTGGGAGGCACTGCTATCCCACTTCACAGATTAAGAAACTGAGGCTCAGAGGGGATGGCACTGCTTGGGATTACACAGCCAGTCAATAACAGAGATGAGACTTGAACTGGGATCTGACCAACGCCAAGCCTGTTCCCACCACAGACACTTGGCATTCTCAGCACTCCAGTCATGGCAAGGCCTTGAGTGATTGTAGGTGGCATGGTTGTTTGGACTTGGGTTTGGGGAAGGATCTGGCAGCCTGGCCCCTTAGAGGGGGTAGAGGCTCCTGGGATGGGACAGAGGGGAGCAGATCCCAGGGCAGAGGTCAGAGCCTGGGGCAGGAAGGACAAAGGAGCCCTGAGGAGCTGTCCTGGGACCAAACTTGAGGTGTGGGGGCTGAGAATTGTTATCAGGCTGGATAGGGGACTGAGGGGATGGGCAGTGGAGCTGAGGAGAGACCCTGGGTTGGCTGTCAGGATATTTGTGGGA